AAACGTATTTCAGTATAGTTATGGTACAACATGGCAAGAGAAAGTTCGGTCTGACTTAGGAATCAATGACCATAACTAAATGCACGCAGATAATTAAATGTATCAAACCTCTTCAAATGCTCACGCCCAATGAAAGTGCGCCTTACATCGGCGACAAGCCTAAGCCATATGATTAAAACGTTTAGAACACAAATGTAAATAAAGCAGTCCTAACAAACAAATAAGGAAACAGAAGGAGAGCCATTCATCCTACACTGGTAATTTAAAATCCAGGAAATTACTCACGAAGCTGTCAAACTCATTCGGGCATCATAGAAGCGAAGCATCGCCTAGCTAGCAATTGGCAGTGTTACGAATAAAAAACACAACTACTCTTCTATACTCCTACACTGTCAGTAGAAGTAGAAGCTGCATAAAGGAGTTGAGTCGCATCACAGCCAACTTGATTTCGCCTTTACATTTTTGACAAGCATTTCTTCTTCAAATGTGGCAAAACAAAAGTTCTAACGAGCAGGGCAATAACTCATGCAGTACGTGCGTTTTAAAAATGTGAACACTTTCTTTACCGTCCTACACAAATCGCCAAAATTTGCATGGTCTGAGAACGGAAACCTCGAGGGCAAATTATTTGAAATTCCAATTTGAAGTAAACGCTTCTCACATACGTTATGCTGAAGTAGAGATAGGGCGCCATAAGAGAAGGTAAACACATCCAGCCATTCGGGAATTTCTAACTTAAAATATAAATTCATTTTTATAGCGACGTCTTCCTCGATGTTGTGGTCCTGACTGCTTAAATTTCCTACTAGGGATGGAAGTGGTGGAAAGTAAATAACAGCTGGCCCCGCTCCAGCATACCCATCGCCTGCGGGGTCACAGCTGGTATTATAGCTGACCATGTTGTTAAGCCTATTCAAATCACCAGATACAACTTAATGATGAAAGTTTGATAATCAGGACAGTTTTGAAAGCTAACTGACGTGACAACAGAACAGTCCTTAAAGTCAAACTCTTCCTTCAGCGGCCTTTTCAGGGGTGGATTTTTGGCGGCCGAGCTCCTGGGTTTAACCCCTCAAAGAGCGTGAGAGTTTAGGGATTAAACTTTGGAGACTTACTTAGGAGTGGATGCACACATTCATTTTGCGTTATAATATTACAACACTTTCATGTTTAGGGACAATAAGACAAATAAGGTCAGTTTCCTCGCGAGGTGATGTAAGTAACGGGTTGGCGATGTCACCACGATTGCTGCTTCAGGATTCTGAGGTGATGTTTTATTGCGCATCATGAATGGCGAGGAAAGATTATTCTCCCGATGGAGCGCAATGAGCCATCGGGCGCATTCAGGTACAGCAGCCGTTCGCTTTGCAGTTCCGCATTTTGCCGTCAAGCCGGAGAGTCAAACTTTTAGTGATAATGAACAATTCTAACTTCAAAGAGCTCTATGGTAGTAACGTCACCCGCAGTTTACTCTTTTTTTTCAAGTGGCCTGAGAATCTTACGCTTTCTAGGTCGAGAACTTAGTTCTTAGATTCTCGGCTTCCTATCACTGGTAAAAATCAAATTCATGGAAATAGAATCAAATTGAAAATTAATCGTTAATCTAAACTCCTTCTAAGATTTCTCTTGCAGTATGAAATCCTACTAACTCTCCTTTGCAACTGAGCAGAGCTAGAGGCACATCAAGTCAAATGGTGGTTGTATGCTTTCCGCTGAGCCTAATGCTAACGTAGTCGCCGGCTCAATCAAATTGTCAGTTTTTGAGGAATAATACCGAGTTACCTCGTTTGCTCATTGGGAGAAATCTATAGAATAATCGAATCAAAATAAATTTCAAACTAACGAAAGTAGTTTTTAAAGATATGTTTTGGCTGCACAACTAATGCCATCATCAGTTATTGTGTTGTATTAATTTATTTTTTTTGTACAATACCTCCTTAATTTAGGCAATAATTTTTTTTTTGGCTGAGTCTTGAATCTTAAAGCAAGCAGCTGAACACTTTTGCTTACAACAGGAAAAGAACACAAGCGTTTGTGAATATATACATATATCTTTTGTTGTAAAGATAAATTTACATTTTAAGAATATCATTTGCGAACAAATATCGGGGTCAGTGGCCTACCGCTTTCACAAAAGTTGTTCAAACATGTATATCTCATCATCACGCCGTTAAAGCTTCTTCTCAGACATACCATTCCCCAAATTCAGTTATAAGGAACACTGAACATCATCTTTTCGCATAAGGTTAAAAAATGAGAGTTTTTTCCCCTTTTGATAAAGTTAAGTATCTTTTGTTTATTTAGGTTCCAGAACCATGCTGAAAATAATTGCCGACCCGAATTTCGAAGACATTCACTCCTATTCTAGCCGGGAAGCAGTCCCAATATGAATTGCGAGGGTTTTGTTTTTTAAGGTAAACCATCTGTCCAAAAGAAATGTTCAAAAGGCACATTTCCAACATATTTTTTATCTTAAATAGCCTTTTCTTTAGCAGGCATAGTCTTAGTACTTCATGTTTTGCATCAACGCGACCTATTCACCGATCTTTACAACATGGCTAAATTCTGAGCGTATTTTGATCTTCTAATAAACATGCAGTCCTCACTGAGCTTTCCAGTATAAAGGTTTCAAAATATCTGTCGTCAAATTTCTTGGCAATAAAATATTCAAACAATTCCTCGACCAGTTCAAGCAGGAATTGATCAGTTATGTCTGTCGGCTGTCAAATATCATGTTGGTATTGCACCTATATTCGGGGTGGTCAGATGTTTGGACTCTCGACTGGAGCCACACGGAGACAACACTGAAACTTATGGGACAAACACATCGGTAACTTCTTCGTGATGCTGCAGAAAATGATACATAAATATTTGTAATTAAGAACATGCCTCAGATCTAGCTTAAGTGTTCAAGGGGGGTAAAGCATTAGATTGACATAGCAGTGAAGGGAGTGTTCTGATACTGAATATACCCCACTACCGTAACAGTATAACCACAATATAACATTTTGGTTCACGATCGTTTAGCGACTGATTTTGTCACTTTGCTTAAAAATTAACCGTTATTAACTGCATCAATCTTTTCTTAAAAGTTCCTTGACAAAATTAATCTCAAGAGGATGTTCACTTCATTCTGCATTATTACCCATCAAATATTTTTGCTCGCGCGTAATTGATCTAAACGCATCAAAGACCAAATATACCCGCGCTAAAACTGGGGAATATCAGAAGTTATGATCAATCAAATATTCTTGTTCAAGCGCGACTGGTCTAAACGCATCACGTGTCCGAACATTTCCAGCTAAAATGGAGGGGGGATATTCATCACCCGAGTGATACTCCCCATTTTCAAACCTTAAGTCATCTTCAATAAGTCTCGGTTTCAAATTTAATTCAAGATGAGAGGGTGTTTTGTGGCTGTTACAAAAGAAGAGAAATATTTGTTTGCTCGTAAGTCGTAAGAGAGAAGACTCAAAAGAAAAACTCCCACGCAGCAAACAGTAAGCTGTTCGTAAACGCTTTTTCAACGTTGCAAAATATTTAAAGGATAATAGACACAACAGCCTCCCTTTGGCACGAGAATATGCACTTGTATTTGTCCTTGGAAATAATTTGTTCCTCTAAACTCACAGTTTTTCTTAAGCTTTGCTCTTAGAAAACTGTTTGCATCTTGGAAAAATAATATCAGCGCATATTTTTGCCCCAAATGGAGGCTCTTGTTTTGTGGCAAAGAGAAACATCCTTCTACAAAGTGAAGAATGCATTAACAATAGAGGTGGTAGAATATACTCGTGCATTCAGTAACATGGATCTTCTTTAAACTCAATGTCATTACAGAGCCGCGATTGTATCACCATTGGAAATTAGCTTTCAAGATATTGTTTACTGGTCAATATGTTGGTATGGGTATTTCAAGGCCAAAAGTATTAAAAAATTGACATTTCAAATGTTCAAGACACTTGACTGATTGTTGATCAATGACCTGTAGGACAATAACTCTGAATGGGAGATTGTTACAGTTTGACTTATCAACACAACCTCTGTCCCACCAAGAGCACTTCCACTGAACATTTATTCTGAAATTTCAAATTCCAACTCTCAATAAATATTTGGGAGTCTCCCAGTCTCAGTGCACTAGATTACCTAGGATATCTCACCTATGTGCATCTAAGAAAGGAATCAAGTAAATTTTCACTCTATGAAAACTTATTTTGGTCAAGGATAGTATTTTTATGGTCATTTTTTAATGAATCTGGACTTTGGACAACAAAAGAAAGGTAAAGAAAGATTTTTTCTGGGGGGGGGAGGGAGGGGGGAGGGGGATTTTGGAAGCAAATTAAAAAATCAAACATCTCCTGATTACACATTTTAAGAAGTTGGCCTTTCTAGAAAATGATCCTGAAAGTGACAATTAAGTCTCAGTATTTTCCAAAGTCACTTATAACTAAGCAGAACACAAATAACAAATGAATCGAGTATCATCCAATATTTGGCCATCTTGTTTATTTTATAATGTAAAAAAAAACCTGTTTAACCTGTCAGCTGTGCGTGCTATGCTTCTTTATCTGCTTTGCTTTTCCTGCTATATAATAAATTTTATTTTAAATAAGTTATTAGACATTTTGGAGAGTGGTCTCACTGAGTATTTCTAATCATTGTTTGCATTTTGCAAGCCCTATGGGCACACAAAAATTTGTCAAAACTTGTAAAGATAGTCAGAGGTACTACACACCAAAATGTGTAATAGGATATATTTATCTTAACACTCTTGAGGACCAAAGTTTAAATAAGCACAGGTGAAATTACAGGCACACAAGCATTCACACAGTGCCCACAGAGAACAAGAACAGGAACAAGAAAACTGAAGGTTTTTGAAACAAAAGCACTCTCACAGTGGTCAAATTAGTTTACTATACAAGACCATGATTTGTAAAGCATAAATCTCCTTTCATCATTTATGGGTTTTGATTGGAGTTAACCATACAACATTAACACTACTTCTATAAACAAATGTACCATTTAATAATCAACAGTCTTTACAACACCAGAAGGTCATTGGCTTCAGAAATGGAAATATTTGAAGCTGTAAAATAATTATTCAGTCCTCTGACATCTTAAAGCAACATGGCATCTGTGCAAATCTCAGCTCTCCTGCAATGAAATAAGAAAAAGGTTGGAACAATAATCATGATGAAATCTAACCTGTGATTTTCTACATCACGGATAAACTAGCCAACTTACCGCTCATTTAGGAATTTCATGATCATATTTATCCTTAATAAAAGGAATCTTTTGGGTGACAACTTTCCAGTCTGTTACGTACAAGAAAACAACTCCCAGTCCTGTTCCCCATGCACCAGCTGTTAGCACCCTGTAAAATTGCACACAAAAAGTATGGGAAAATGTCATGCTTTGTGAGGAACAGATACAGCTGGACTAAATTAATATGACCAACCTTTGGCTAAAAGAATTTGATGTTTATAAAATGGAAACCAGGTTAATAAGGATGTAATTTATTAGAGCACATTATTCATAGAGGCAGTCACCGAAGGGAGTTGAAGAGTTAAGAAATTTTGAGAGCACTGCTTAATTATAATCAGGGTTTTCATTAACAATTGCAATAGCTGGAAAAGTGTTTAAAAACAAAAACTTAATAACGTCCAGTTTTAATTCTTGAGTCATGTGACATTTTCTTGGTTTATATGAAATGCAACTTAAATGTAACCTAAGAATTGCAAAGAGACCGAAAAACTTTGCTCAATATGGATACCTGAATAATATATATCACCTCGAGAGTCATTAGGCCTAGTGTTGTGGTAAACCCGGACTCAGTGCGCTTTTAACACAAAGCTATAACTAGGAATGTGACTTTTCAGAAGTAAAACCAGTTCTAGTCAATTCATACAGTTGATACCCAGACGAAAGTAACTCCTGATTACAAATCTCGACCAGTTTAAAGACAGCCATTCACGAAAAACCAGAGGTTCTTTTCAGAGGGGTTTCAATGTAAAATGGGGCAATGGCATGTCTTAAAATATATGTAGAAATGTAATTGCTTACCAGTTTTTTCCAAGGGTGGCATAGAATCTCGATAAAGATTGGTAACGTTTCATTAACTCCCTCATATTTAGCAAGAGTAGTACGATCCGACCGTCGGTACACCGATATCACGCAGCTGACTTTGAGCATGAGTTTAGTTATCAACTGCTGGACATAATACTGACGGCTCAAATCAAAATTGTAGACTTAGGAAAGATGAAAAGAGATGTAAAGCCGCCATGTTTTCATGTAAACTGACAAAATACAAAACTTTTACGGAGTAGTTGCACCAATGGATCGTAAAGTAGCTTTAACAAGCAAGAACTCTAATGTAGACAGGCAAGGTTGCGAGAAAAAGATTAAAAGTGGCCCCAACGTGAATGTAGTGGAAAGTAAGACAGCGCGCAAAAATCACTTGAAGATCACAACATTTATCATGGAGGCTGGTAAGTGAGGTCGTGATCTGAACACAGGAATGAAATAGAAGTCTTTAACGGTATCATTTATTTCCACTTATTGCTTGGTATGAATAGTTGGTCTACCTCTTGTGCTGGGGGAGGGGGAGGGGCTCTTGGCTAGTGAAAGTTGAAACATCTGCGCATGTTACAAACTTTCTTGCACTATTAATCCAGAGCAACAATATGTATGAATTGAATTGGCAGCAGCATTGGAAAAAATTGATGCCCATCGTTTATTAGCAGCAAGCGTTATTGAGAAAACTCAAAGAGACAAATATCTTTAAAAAACCACACAGCACACATTAAGACATATTTATAGTACAGCTTGCAATTACTTCTTTCTCTTGATCAAACTCATACTGCTTAGTTTGAGCTAAAGCAGAAGGCGTCATCCCTTTTTCCTCTTGCTTATGATCACTGTATGCAATCCGTGCACTGGACTAAGATATTTTAAAGAGTTCAAGCATTTCAGCCTTCACATACTTAGAACAACTCTGTGACAGTTTCTGAAATTGTGAAATAGATTTTTAAAGATGGTTTGAAACTCTGTGAAATATATATGCATGCAATGCTAAATAAAAGAAGACACTTTAGTTATGGTTGTCTCTTATTAGAAGGAGAACAACTGGCAGGAGCTAAAAAATCAAGCTGAACAATCCAGCTGGTGATAATTGATAAGATATGTCTCCCCCTGCCCAGGAATGTATCAATCTTGAATAAGCAATAAGATGTCACTAAAATAGTAGAAATAGGTTTTTCTTTAAGATTATTTGTGTTTAGATTTTTCAAAATTTCTTAATTCAGGCCAAAGATTAAAGCTCCCGCCAGGCACTTGTGCTTCTGCTTGTGTTCTATATCATCGTCTGTACAAGCAGTATTTTCAGAGTGAATATGATCCAAATGTAAGTTGTCATTTTGCTTCATATTAAATGACATAATTGTAGCAATAGGATAAATTTCCTTGCATGGTAAGATGCTCCCTAAATGTCACAAATAATTTGTTTGCCCTTGGGTGAGCATATTATAAGCATATTGTAAGCTAAAGGTTCCAGGGGGTATATGGACTCCAGCAATTGAAAATTTCAAAGAGGGTACAGTCTCAGATCCTTATCAGCTAACAGGTGTAGGATTTAATCTGCATATATGATTATGTAATACCTCATGTGGACTGATTGTGGAAATGGTAGGAAGCCCACTCAAAAGCTGAATACCTGGGGTGTGAATATTTCAAGCTGAAGAAAAAATTAAAAAATACCCTTGTCAGTCTAAAGTTAGCTTAGATGAATGCTCTTCCGATTGCATTTTCCAATATTTCCCCCCTCCCCTTTCCCCCCCCCCCCCCGATTCTTTACTGAATTAGAATTGTAGTATATGGAAGAGTTAGACAGAGAGAAAGAGGTCTTGGAGTATTATTAAACTAGTATTTTCCCTTGATTTTCTATTGTTCATGTATAATAATTTTTTATTTTACATCATTAGCTTGTTGCCACTGCTGCTTTATATTTAGCATCCAAAACTGAGGAATCTCCTTGCAAGTTACGAGATGTGATAAATGTATCTTACAGGTGAAGATAATTGTTAACTATTTCTTTTAATTGTTTCACCTTTCTTAATCCCAGTGTGGTTCCAGAGTTAAGCTGATAACTTCTGTCCAATGTTTTGTTTTGAACCAAGTGCAAAGCATGCTATGAACTTTGCATGATGCTTATGATGTAAAATTTTGGAAACTGAGTTTCTAAACTAACTCATGATTTGCTCAAAGTAAACTAATGTAATGGAGGAAGGGATGAAGTTATTTTAACCATTTTGCTTCCAGGATTAACTATAAAAAAGCAGAAAAAAGATGACAAGAAATAACAATATCAATTCATTGTAGGGGCTCAGATAATGAGATATTTACTGCAGACAGTGCAGAGAATTTAGACTTAAATTTTGGCAGTGAAAGGGTGGAATCTACAGTTGATAGAAACAGACTGATTACAGTTGATAGAAACAGCTGATACTTGATAACCTTTGAATCTCCCACTGAATGAAAGTGTTTTTCTTCCCTTCTGGCCACTTTGTTAAAATGCAACCCTCAATAACTCAAAACCTTCCTATCCACGTACTGTATTTTTTATCTAAAGATGAAGTCACTTTGGTTCATTTGTTTCATTCTTTTCAAAACTAATCTCACCATGAATAAAATTAATTATAACCCAACAGGTTATTACACAGAGATAAACCACCATTGGAGGTAGGGTCTCTGTATTGGGAACTTCACGACAGTGTGGCTAATTGTGAGCTGATGATTTTACGAGCTCTTCAGTTTCAAGTCAGTTTTGACAGTCCACACAAGGTAAAACTGAGTAAAATGTTGTCTTAATTTGAATCCATATGAGGGTTTCTTCTAAGAAATAGCCAAAGAGGGCCCAATTAGTCTCCCACTTTAACCCTATACACCCTAACATCAGTAAGGATATTCTCCATACCAGTCTATACATTTCCTAGGGCACTGATAAGGAGAATTTTTTTTGACAATCAAGAGTTTCTTTATTTAGTGATCATTTCATTTATTCTCATGATCTCAGTGCGTGATTCAGTGGAGATATTGTAAGGAGAAATTAGATGCTAGTCATTCTTTGTGGTTATAGGGTTAAAGTTTGGTGGCCCTCTTGTTAAGAATGAGGCCCCAAGAAGGGCTGGGTTATCCTAAAAGGTATTTGAACATATTTGTAAGTCTAATCAATTAGAAATCAAAGAAGAGAAAGCCAATTTAGAGTGTTAGAGGCTTTGAGTTTGTGCTAGTGAATTGTATATAGCAGCTATCATATCCATGTTGTTGTCACTGGTGTTTCCAAATACTGAAGACATAGAACATAAAACATACTTATCCTTTAGCACAATTTTTTTTGCCCTATTTGGCGGTCAGACATGAGATTTATACATTAGTACCCTAATGTGATGACAAGATGAAAGGCCCTATAAAATCAGAGCTTATTTTTGCCAATCGCTGTTACCTTAAACATCATGCTTTATTTCACTAATATTGATTACTGAAAGAGTTGGTAGTTTCTTCTTTTCTTTTTTTTTTTTTCAACTTGTTTATCTGGCCCCTTAGTTATTTTAAGGACAGTCATGGATTACTAAGGTTTTTTTTGGTCATAGTATCTTCTCCATTACCTGAACTCACTTGAAGACTGGCTAGACAAGGAATGTACTATCACCAGTTCTTTAAGTCAACTTAGCTGGAGTATTTTGCAAGATAGTTTCCACACTACATTATGTTTGGAATACAGTCCAGCTGTTATTGCAATAGCGATGATCTACTTTTCTCTAACATGCCTTGGGATTGATGTTCCATCACAGGGTGCAAGACATTCCTGGTGGAAGGTTGGTGTTCTTAAGTGATTTTAAATTGAGTGTCAAAAGTAATGTGGTCCTTACTGGTTTTGTTTGACTTCACTTTGTGATTGGTCTAGAAAAATCGCCCACAATTTTGCACAAACACGCACAATCACGCACATTCAGATGCAAACAGTCCAAAACTAATCACGACTTGGTCACTTCCGATTTCCCCGCTCGACTCGGTTTGCTTCATTGTACTTTGAGTTCCCATTGGCTCTTTGTTATTTGTACCTTTTCTCTGATTGGCTGTCATAATAACTGAGGTATTTGGTACACGACACTTCAATTAGATGCGCTGTACCTTTATACTGAATCAGTTTCAAACATGTAAAACAGTGGGCGTCTTCCATTTATGATGAAACTCAATTAATACGGCCCTTTTCACCGTAGTTTTTTCCATTTAAAATGGGGGAAACAAATTCAGAAATAATATCTTTTTTACGGCAATTCTTTGAAAGGAAAGTCCTGTTATTTTTGATAAAAGATTTTTTTCGTTTTTTTTTCGTCCAAATGAAAGCGCAGAGTAATTAGCTCCACAGAGAGATAATGCTCCAGCAACAATTTTTTTGCTATCAATTAAGTATCATGAATCCATGAGGCCACTGCGTGGTTTGATGGAGTTGTGCCCTCTTGAACGTCAATGCCATTGACTGATGGCTCAAAATAATGCATCTCCACTTTCATTTGGTAGACGAAAGTGGAGATGTACCATAGTAGAGTCAATATAATGGGGTCGTTTCCTTCGAAGATCTGAGGGAGGGTGTCATTAAAACCAGGTCTCAAAGGTCAATCTCTAATACTTAGACCCACTGGGCTAAAACGGAGACCTTCGAACTATAGCGAAGAACCTCCGAACCAGTACGAAGACTCTCCAGACCAAAACGAAGGCGATGTGAACTAAAACGGAGACAACTCAGACAAAAATAAAGACTATCGTAACTAAAACGAAGGTTCGCCAGACTGGAACGAAAACCCGGTGTTGCGCTGAAACGCGTTTACTTCATGTGTGGACTTAAACTGTTTATGGAATTGCGAATTGATCTTGTCAGTATGACAGGCAATCCACCAAAACTGTTTTTATTTCTCTTGTTAATGCTTTTGAAACAGAATGAGCCTACCTGGAGTAATTTTGAAATACTCATTCTATTTGATTGGCAGGCCTTATGTCCAAGAAGCACAGAAGACGAAATACAAGCTATAATACTCCATATAATTGACTTCTATTCATTGGAAAACGTAGTTAGCGATTGAAAATTTGAACATGCTAATTCTTTAGACCGTCCACACATGCCCAATTACCCCAGTTCCACGAAAGGAAAAAGAAACTTGGTAAAGAACTCCGTCTGCGCTGTCAAAGTGTGAGACCATAATGTAAATAATATTGTTTTTCACTATAGGATGTATAAACACCAGTTTTGAAATAAATATATTTATTATCTGAAACCTGTGTGCTTTATCTGATTGGGGCTTCTATGAGAAGGGGAAGACGCCTTGGCGACGAACTTGTTACCAGTAAGATGTGTCAAAGGGCTAATGGACGAACGAAGATGGGAGGAATAATCCAGATGTTGTTTTTGCCCTCTGACTCGCTACAGTCTATATTGTAAAAGGAAAGCTACCGATTCCACTTAAATTAAATTTTGTCGGACAGTTCACTTTTAGGTGCCATTTATACTGGCTAGAATACGCCTTACTCTCTAGGAATGCTGTTGAATATCTTCTTCTTGGTTGGCCGTGGTTCTTAATGATCTGTTGAACAGAAGACGGGCAGATGATGTCACCGTTGACATTATTTCCTCTCTGTTTGATACGAAACAGATCACGGATGGAACTTACGGTCACACTACAAGAAATTTTCGTCATTTGTTAGCGTGTTTGCCTTTGTATTGGTCCAGACATTGAAACCGCATGTGCTGCTTCAATACTTCATATCTAGGGCCCTGTTCACTCTTCGTAAATTGCGCCTCGGACGAAGTTATCGTTATTAGTTTAATTTTTAATAACAAATAACAAAACGAATTTTAACGTTTCAAATCTTACAAATGAAATTTTGTGAGCGCGTCAAATTCATATCTCGCTTTTGAAACGCATAGACTCTGTATAACGCTCACAGTATTTTTAATTATTGTAGTGTTATTGGTAAACCGTCCCAAAAATGAAGGCAACATTTGACCTACATATTTCTACAAGGCCATTCGATTTGTAATTAATTTTTGCCCCCCGAAAGAGGACCTGGGGGCTACCTGTTTTGTTGTTCAAAAACTGTGCGTGTAAAGCTTCTTTTCATGTGAAAGAGCTAAGAGCTATTGAAGCTTTTGATAGCTACACAAATATGACCTTTATTGGAATCGATAACTGACCAACCATGACCTGCATAGCACATACCTCTGCTAACACCTTGACACTCCCCTAGTACCCAGCTTCTTTGCGGTTTGTTTTCAGTTTCCGGGCCTCAGGTATCGAAGGATGGCGGCAATTGTGAGACGCTCTCCAAATTTTCTTTTTGGAGCACGCAGTACATTGCGAGCTCTCGTTTCTTCTCCTTCGTTCGAGACTCACAGGCAGCAAAAGAACTGTAAGCGATGCATAATGTTTTGTTTCTTTTCTTTCTAGTAGGCGCGGAAGACTCGAAGCACATGGAATTTCGAATGTTGATTTTGATCTCGTGAATGTTGTTTGTTTTAGTTTGCCATCATGGACACACAAAAATCAAAGTGGATGGGCCTGTTGTTGAGATGGACGGCGATGAGATGACTCGTGTGATATGGACAATGATTAAAGATAGGGTAACAAAACCAACCTTTCTAATATAGAAATTAATTGGCCAGCACAAATTTTGTTTGGCAACGATTTGTGAACAAAGGAATTGTTATTTATACTCGGATACCTAAGGAAATAAGCCTCTTATTAACAAAGATACATGGTGCCTTTGCAAGTCCCTATGCAACAAGAACGTAAGATTTAGTCCGGCTTAGAAGTGTTTCTTTGAATAATATTGTTTGAGCTCGAGAAAACTACACGCAATTTTCGAGGAAGGGATAATTATTCAAGTTACTATTTTTTTGTTTTGGCGTGAAATTTTGCACCCGGCTCTTAAGTACATGTATTATTTTACACGGGAAGAAAGTCAGTCGCACGAATTAACCTTGACATTCAGGTAAGTTTAGTCGATCTGGTTTGAAGCTGTACAATGTGTGGTCTCATTTCAAAGCCTTCTTCCTGTGTTCATGGAAACCGTTAACTGTAGCTACCTAATAATTTTGATTAAGACTGTTTGTGTGCTAACTACCCAAACCGATGTTTATATTATTTTGAATACTGTGGAAGAAGGATAAGAAGCACAAATAATCTGCTGGTGTGTTTGCAGAGTTAGAGCAAATGTTATTAAGATATTGTGTGCGGTAGTCAATGAGAATTTATGCAAATTTGCGGTACATTAATGAAGGGGAAGTGTAATTGCGAATTAAGAATTGCGAGGAAAAACGAATTTGTAACACTTAACGCCATCCATGTACCTCTATTTTTTCATTCCTTGGGTTGAAGTATTGTGAATTTCGCTCATCATCTGAGGTGTTGCGTCTGTGGTGGATATTACAGTCACTGTTAGCAGTAAAATTATCGTTTTCTTTTTTAAACTGATACGTAAAGGGGATTTCTCCGTAATTCTATAGGTAGTCAGTGAAATAAGGTTTTCACTGATAATCAATGTTTCCCAGCGATTCTCTGGAACAGTTTAAGTAGTGATAAGTAATGGATTAAAGTAACACTGAAGATATGAATTGATAGGTGATAGTGAATGAAGTGAGGCAACATTCAATGCATTTTTATAATAGTAGAAAGCACTAGGCTTTAATGACCTCAATAAGAACATGATTGTAGTGGCTACTTTTATCAAATAGCTGTGATAAAGAAGGAGCAAACTCTGGAATGTAGAATTTCAAGCTGACTTAAAAAAACTGAAAAAAAATTGTCATGAAAATTGATAATGAAAGACACAGAGTTGTTAGCCATCAGTATTCATTATAGAGCAGTCATCAATTAAGGCCAAAGGTTAAAGTAAGGGTAATTTAAAAGCTTTGATATTTTTTTCCTGCCAGCTCATTAAACCATATCTGGATCTGGATATAAAATACTATGATCTTGGTTTGCCACATCGAGACGATACAGATGACAAAGTAACAGTTGAAGCTGCTGAAGCCATCAAGCATTACAGTGTAGGAATTAAATGTGCAACCATCACTCCAGATGAGGAGAGGGTTAAAGGTACATGTAACTGTATGTAAATGATATTAGTAAGGATGGCAAAGAATTTCATCTATCAGTGTTCTTATATCAGCTATCTCCAGTTTATTTAATATATACCAAACTCCACCTCCACAGACCATGATTTTACAGTGTATAGCAGATACAGTTGAACAAGATCTTTGTGGACATTTTTTAAGCCTACTTTAGGTGACTAGGTTAATTAGGAAAAGAACAATCTCTGACCCCTTAAAAATTAAAGAGAAAGAGTGAATTTATGTGAGTTATCACTCTTTTTCTAGTGTTCAAGATCTTCTAATTTTATTTTTGTTAAGATGTTTTTGCTGTTTTTGATGTGACTCTAACTCGATAAAATGTAAACTTCTTAGAAATGTAACAAGAGTTTTGCTTTCATTTGTTTAATTTTCCTTTTAATTGCAAGTACAATATTCTCATTTTCTCCCTATGTACACATGTATTAGGTTAAGAGTGCTCTATAACCCACTGAGACAGAGTCCCTTTGAATCCTTTAACCCTTAAGAGTGACTAGCATCTAATTTCTCCTCACAATATCACCATGGAATCACACATTGATGTTATTTGAATAAAGGAGATGACCACCAACTAAAGAAACTCTTGATTGTTAGACAAATTCTCCTTGTCAGCACCTTGCTAAATGTATAGAGAACAGTATGGAGAATATGAAATCAATACTGATGTTAGGGTGTAAAGGGTTAAAACAATTTTTGCTTATGATATCCTTCAATGTGCAATTTTGTTCAAATAATAACATGCAAAAATATTGTTTGTGGGTGAGTATTGATTATTTTAACAAAATATCCTTCAAATTACTTTTATACACATTTTCTAGAGTACAACCTGAAAAAAATGTGGCGAAGTCCTAATGGCACCATTCGAAACATCCTTGGTGGTACTGTATTCCGTGAACCAATCATTTGCCAGAAAGTTCCCAGACTGGTCCCTGGATGGGAAAAGCCAATTGTGATTGGAAGGCATGCTCATGGTGACCAGGTAACCATATCAGACTAGGTTATATAAAAAAGTAGCTCCTTCCATAAAAATATTGAGCAGTGAAAGAATGGGAAAAAGTTTGAGCCTAATCAAATACTAAACCAGAGATAACTACACTGACTTGTGAGAGTAATATTAAGGACTTATTTGCACCTCTTGCAGCATTCCAAAATGCATCAGTAGCAGCCTAGCAATGTACTACTTACAGTGATGCATAAAAACAATCTCCTCACTTAACAAAAACTTTCACTTTTCAGAAGCAGTCAAAATGTTTTAATATACAACTGAAACAATTGATAATAATTCCTTATCATGAAAGGAATGATCAAACATTTATTTATTCAGAACCATGATAAACAACAAACACATCTTTTTTTATATATGCGAGACAAGTGGGTACAGAAATTAGATCACAGGGTTGACAGTTGCAAGTCACTGCAGACAAAAATGACACATGATTGACAATAGTTTCAACTGATTCCCATCTGCTTACCATTTCATTAATTTGATGGATACTGGAACATTTTCTGCAGAGTTACTGTTTCTGAAAGCACCCTTGTAAGTAAGTGATGAACCAGTTGTTAATAAATAACATTTTTCTGAAGGGCAGGTTGAATTAGAGATCAAATTCATGCGTAGATATGTGTCCTAAAAATGCATGTACCGCTAGTATCCTAAGAAATTAGGTGTTGAGCTCTTAAACCTTAGTCTCGAGAAGAAAGTATTCAAATTATTTTGCTGTGTGACTTGACTGAAACTCTCTTTTTGCTTCCAGTATCGTGCAAGAGATTTTGTTGTGAATGGACCAGGAGTGTTTGAAATCTCCTACAGACCTGCTGATGGGAGTGAAAAGCTGACCACTGAGGTGTTTGAGTTTACAGGGACTGGAGGTGTCACCATGGGCATGTATAACACTGATGAGGTATTCATTTGTTGAGTTATTTCTTGCTTTCTTTTTATATTGACTACTTCAACTGGACTGGTCAGTTTTGTATCAATTGTCCTGAAAATTATTGTGCATACAAAGAGGAAAGAGAAGAGTCTTAATATAGTTTAGGGAGGAGGCTTCCCTTTCAGAACTCCTCCAGGGCATAGTTGTTGTACAGTTTTCTCTCATTGTCTTAGCCAGTTTTAGAAGTCTTCCACTCTAGGGAAATATGGAAAAAGTGCTATCAAGGATGCCTCAATGCAAGTTATTTTCATTTCTTTCTTCCTCAAGCAGGCCCAACCTTGAAAAAAAGCACTCTTTGATATGACATTTGTGCAGATATGAAATGTAAAAATTTCATTCTCTGTGCTTTATTTTGTGTTGGTGATTTTCAGTCCATCAGGGATTTTGCTCACAGTTGCTTCCAATATGCATTGAGTAAAGAATGGCCCCTGTATATGAGCACCAAGAATACAATTCTCAAGAAGTATGATGGCAGATTTAAGGATATCTTTGAAGAGATTTACGAAAGGTATAATGGTATTTGGTGTTTATTCTTGGTTTCTTCCTCCCTTCAGTCAAGCAATGAGCAGTAGTATTATAAATTTATTTCCTCTGTAAAATTATTTATAGTAGCTGGTTTTAGATGTCTTAAAGGTAGTTTTTTCTTTCATGCTTCCCTTGAAGGTAAAACTACACGACTCTTGTGTAAATTTGTAAGTTTATTTCACAGACTGAATTATTTAATCCTTTAACTCCATGAGTGAAAAAAGTAAAGTA